ATTAGCTTTAGCAAATCTTTCACGGAGGCATTTGTTGGCAGATGCCCTTGTGTGCTTCGTTTAGTTTTAAAAATCAATCATGGAGTATCACGACCTTTTGACTTCTCTTTGTGCTCATTCTGTTTTCAGTTTTTGCAGCGTAAAATTATGTGACAAACGTGGTTATGTCTTACTATTTATGTAGTTTATAAGGTCTACGTATTTATGAAATCGTAATTTTTAAATGTAATTTCTTATTCTAAAACATTTGATGCTATTAATAATAGTTTGTGTTTGATTTTTTTTTGGGGGGAAGGCCTAGAAATACTCAAACTTACCCCCCGTGTATGTAAACTGTATTCATTTCATACCTTTCAGCTTATGAAATATTCTGCAGAAACGTTTTACTGTAATTTTTCCCGTTGTAACTCCCATAGCGATCTCTTTCGAATAATACATTATGTGCAGACGCATAGCCACAAGTGTAGAAAACTTTAATAATTTTTCAAAAAGAAAAATGTCCTTGGTTACTTGCATACATTAATGACAATGCAGTTGTATCGTATGACGACATTAGAGCAATGAATGTCACTGTTACTATAAAATTGTTTAATTAAATTCAAAATGTCATTGAATAGAATATTTTTAGATCCCTGCACATTGCGGACTTCCTGAGGAAATATGGAGCATTTATGAAAATTCTGAAAGTCATATTATGAAGACATTGCTGTTTATTTAAGTAACTTTTGGCAGCAGTTATCTACATGGGAGCAGAGTAATGTAAAATAGGTTTAAAAGCTGTATCTTAGTATCGATAAGGCTTGACCTGCGCTCTGTTAGAGATTTAAAGAGTCAAAGTTCTTTAGGATCCTTTTCTGTAGTACGTGTAATACGTACTTCTTTCGATTGCAGCTTCTCGTCCAGAATAACTCCTGAATATTTAACTTGGAAGTAGTTATTTATCGGACTTCGATTTATAAAAATATTGTCAATCAAATCTCTTGATCTCTTAGTTTTTTTTTTTTTTTGTTTGTTTGTTTGTTTTTTGTTTAGCCCCCACCGGCCTAGAAGTAAAGTAGATGAGCATTGGTAGATGTACTCCTTTTCAAATCCAGGCGAACTGGTTGGCTGCATGGAAATTATTGCAGTTTTCTCCATGTGTAACGTGGATATAAGTCAGTTTCCCTTAAAAAGTTCTCTACGAAGAAATCTCTCACCAGAGGAAGATACTCCTCGAGTTGCTTTGCCTTAATCAATTAACCTAACCTAACCCTTGTTTCCTGCCTATGGAAAACTGACAGAATACGTTTCGTCGCATTCATTGAGATTTTCCACTTTTTGCGCAAGTCCTCAGCAAAAAGAATGGCATTTTTTTAGTATTGCAAATGTTATGTTGAGCTTCAACGATTTGGACAAAATGGTCGTATCATCAATGTAATGACACTATGTAGAACACACTATGACAATATTTAGAAGTAGAAAATTAATTTTTAAAAATTGGATAAAATTGTAAACTATTTTACTTCACTGCTAAAGTACATTTGAAATTTCCTCTCTAATCTTATGAAAGTTCTTCCTTCAGAAACATAGCATTCGAAAAAAAATATTTAATGGCACTTTCGGAAATTTTTAAGTCTGTCAACGTAATAATACAAGAAATAACTTCTTTTCCACAGCATTCTTTATAGAAAGCCTGTATAAAATTTAACTTTTATGAATTTTAACGAAAAGTTCTCCCCTATAATTAAAATCGTCGCAGTATGAAAATCCGCCTTATACGAGTATAATTCTTTCTTTCAGCGGAATCATGAGTACGATAATTCTTCGAGAAATACTATTAATTCATGAGAAATAAATACTCATTGCCATTTTACGACTATTGCATGAAATTAACGTAATAAATTCGTCGCAGCGTGAAATTTCACGATTCTTTCTAGGAGATATTTTTAGATTGTACTTAAGTGACATTTTTCCGCCATTATCAAATTAAACCAAAGAATTCCACATATTTTCCCATTCTTTTATAATTTATGTAATAATTTTAAAATTATTTTTCATATTTAAAACTTTTAATCATCAGACTGTACGCGGAAATTTCTTTGCAAATTGCGACTACTCCAAAATTCAAACCGGAACTCACAATGCGCACTTCAAGATTCCGGGTCCAGTATTTTTATTCGAAGAATATACATGTGATGTTTCATGATTCCATGCTTCATGATTGCTATATATCATATTTACCTGCGTCCTGCCGCTTTTAAAAAACCAGATTAGGGAAATATACGTGGCAAATAACATTTCTGAATACTTAAATGAAGAAAATAGCATATTTCTTCATTTAATTGCAGCAAAAATGCAAATATTAAGAGATAAGCTAAAATTATTACATTCTATACTTCAGATTTTCATTTAATCAGAAAAATCACATATAAACAGACGTGCTAATATTATAAGTTTCTGTAATTCAAACAAGTTAGTAGAGTTATAAATTTCAATATTATTCCTTTTCATTACATAGTATGCATTGCTATATATTTTACATTGCTACTACAAATCAAAAATTTATTATCAGATACTGAAAACGCAATGGGAAAATTGGGTGACGGGTTAACTTGCAAATAAAGTATGGTATTTTGTTGCCTATTTTTACTTCCTTGTACGAAGTAAAAAGGAAGTATTGTAATCGCGAAAAGCTTCAGGCAGCATATTTCAACGAAAATATCCACTTTGACCGCTTTCGAATGCAATTTAACGATGTTTTCGCAAGATACTGTACGTAAGGACAGAATAAAAGACTCTTTTCCTCCAAAAAAATATAAAAAACTGCTTTAAAATGAATTCTGAAGAGAATTTTTCGTGGCGTCTGTACGAACGTACGTACGTATCTCGCATAACTCAAAAACGAGTAGCCTCAGAACGTTGAAATTTTGTATATAGGACTGCTATAAACATGTAGATGTGCACCTCGTATTTTGGTTGCAATCGGCCGCACCAAACGTATATAAATATTTATATATATATCCACTCTGTTACCCGGCTCAGTGAACTCAGTTTCTTTACTCTTATATGTTTGTAAATTGTACATTTTTTTGCTTTAAAAATGATTGTAATTATGTTGTTTTTTATCTTCCGGTTAAGGTTTTTATGCCTTTAGTAAATCTGTATGCAATATTTTTAGAATTATCAACAATTTAAAAGTTGTTTAAGTGCCGCTAAGCCTAATTTTTTGATGGCGGCCATTGCTTGTTTACATTTGAAACAGCTGAGGAGTGGATTTGTTGCCAATCTAGAGAAACTTAGCTTCGCAACAACAAAGATAAACGCCTTCATTTATTATAGCCATTTAAATCATGCTTAATCCTTTCTGGAATTTTTTCGAGGAAATAAGTTTAAGATTTACTTTTTTTAATAATTTAATTTTTAATAATTAGTAATTTTTTTAATAATAGATTTTAGTAGAGTTTTTGAGTTTTTATGTATTTTTGCCTTGTCGCGAAGTGAGAACTGAATTAATGAATGAGAAATACTCAATCGTCTGTGAAAAACTGGTTTCTTTTTTGTTTTTTTTTGCTTAATTTCTTGTATACGTCGTTCTAGCTTTATTATAGTATTTGAATAGAACATGTGGCAACGATTAGATAATTCTTTAAATGATATAAATTTTTTGCATTCTGAGTTATAATATGAACGAAATATAATACTGTTAAGTGAAACCTAGCGCCAGAGTGTCGCTATGGTAAACAAATAGAGTGAATTTTAAAGAATGCATTTATTCTATTGTGGTTTATGCGCTGTCGGCGAAGTAGATTTAATTCAATCCAATAAGTTTAAATGAAATGCAAGAAAAAATGCGTATAATTTAATATTCCGTACAAGGAAGTCATATGGTGTACACATCAGATTTTTTAATGCATAGAATATGGAAAAGTAAAAAAGAAAGAAAATTGATTTAAAAATGCATTTCCGGATTTATCCAATGGTGGAAAGTTCGAAATTCTGTGATGATTAACTTCACCGTTAAACAAGAGTATGAGGGGGGAAAACTAAATGCTAGATCAATAATAATTTATATGTATAGAATTATACAGAAATTCCTACGTATTGTCATAGCAAATATGCATATGTAAAAGATTCCGAAAAAGACGGATTGGTAGGAAACAGTGAAAAATTAATTCTGTGAAATGAACCAAACAAACAATCAAAGAAGCCAATTTGAACAAAACAGCCTAAAAATGAAATAATGAAACAAAACCAGTTTAAAATGAATTAGAAATGAAAGGTTTTCAGGTTGTCTTATTTAATGTCACTTAAACTGGCGTTTTTATTAAACGAACGCTAACCGAAATTGTTTACGTTAGTGTCGAAATTGTTTACGTTAGTAACTACTTTTAGTAAAAGGAAACTCTTAAAGGAACTACTTTTAGTAAAGGTCAAGTGTTTCTTTTTCCAATTAAATTCTACTTGGCACTAAATGGAGAATATAACCTGAGTATTGAAATGCATTCTTAGTTCAATTAATCATACATTTCCACATCTGGTTAACCATTTTTCTAAGTCCGACTTGTTATCAGATCTTTTCTAGATAGTAGTCCCATAGAGATAAGCCTAAATGCTGCATTTGTAGACACTTGTGATTACAGTATTTGCAGTTATCAATGACGTGTTTCCTTATTGCTTCATACATGATAAACGACTTGCTAGGAGATAAAGATTGATTCTCTTTCTCTCGGAACATCCTCCGTCTTGAAAGGTTGCAGAAAAGTAGCTGTGCGGTAGTTAATTTTGAGAGTAAGTGAATATTTTTCTTTTATATTATCAGTTTTATTAAACGAATAATTTTGTTTTCTAGTGTATGTTATAGGCAATAATTTTATAGGGGGCAAAAATTGCAAAATTCGCAAGGTGGTACGAAAATCATGAAACGTTTGTAACCTGGCATTTACACTAACAATTTCGAAGTCAAGGATTTTTATTAACATTTTACGAGAGGAAATGGAGTTGCATACCGGAAGAAGGGAATAATACGAAAAGCTAGTATGTAAGTTAAAATTATAGTATACATTTTTATTTGAAGTCCTCATTTGAAGTCCAACAAATTCTGGAAGCATATTTTAGGTTATCATTTAATTAGACGATGTTTTCATACATTATACACTGCATATATACAGATTTACTTCTTTCAACAGCATTAAAAAAAAGAGGGTTTTTCGGCATCCAAATTATTGGTACTGACAGGCAACAACGGAAGACGACTCTATGTAATTTCGAGAATAGAATTCCTTTTATTCCCCCCCCTAACTTCAGAAGTCCTGCTAAATTTAGAGTAACTCAAAATTCAATGTTCTGATTAGGATTTCGGGATAAAATAATCTTCACTGTAGTTGTTGAATAAATCCTGGTGTAAAACAGCATAAAAATTATTTAAATATAAAATAATCCAACATTTATGATAGCAATAAAAAATAAGAAGAAAAACCAAAATTTCCGGATTTATTTGATATTTGTGCAAAAATATTATATTAGTGAAATCTTAGAAAATATCCTATGTGTGAATATAGCGGCTGAAATTTGCTTTACTGTAAAAGTATTGCTTTATCCATTTATCATTACGGCTTTCTTTATGTTGCTCTTACTAAATTTTCTCCTTAACCGCTGGTGGACGAAGTCTAAACATAAATTCTCTCTTTCCCATCACTGCTAAATCATGTCAAGGGTTACGAATTAAATTAGGCAACTATTATTTTATAGCATAATTTCGCATCTTGTTAGAGGTATTGAAAATAAACAAATTTGGGTGAAAAACTACTTTGATTCTGATGTAGTTCGAAGCTCCTTTGACTTGAATACTAATTGACCAATGCACGTGTGCCATCTAACTCTTCAGAACGGATCTAGTTTGAACTGATCTATCGAATGAAAAAATATGAATCCTTATTGCTCCTGTGATGGCATACGGAAAGAAAAGGGGGGGTATGCCACTAGTATGAAAATTTTAAATTCGTAAACGTTGGGATTTGCTTAGTTATTACAAAAGCCTTTCCCTGTATATTGCGCCAGATGCTGCTAAATTATTTGTTTAGTTAATATTTAGTTGCGGTTGAAACATGTTGCAAGATATTTGAATTTGATAACTACTTTTCTTTCTCATAGAATGCAGTTTTATTCACACTGCTGTTCCATAAAAGCTACCTCAAATTCATATGTTAAAACCCAATTCGTATCATTATTTAGAACATTAAATGAAAGACACGTTTAAATTGTTAACAGAGTAGAAGAGGGATTTAACTTTTTAATATATAGAGAATTAATAATAAATTAATGTTACTTTTGCAATATAATTTTTTTTCTTATATTTTTATTACTTATGTATGACATCTCGAAGGAAATATACGGTTAAAATTTGTATATAGGATCATGCCGTTAAAATTGGTGTATGAAGGGGAAAAAAAAGAAACAAATAGAAGCATCATTTGTCATTCACGTTCTTTGAAAAGTGCTACCATTGCACGAAATTTAAATAATTAATCTGCCACGTGTGTTCGCACAAAGCAGATTCTGTTGCCATTCGACTGCCATAAATAAGGTTTTTTTGTTCACTTTTCATATTAAATAGTCTATTATTGATTAATAAACTGATCGATTTCATAGAAACAAAAATTTTATTTTAACAACTTTGATCTTCATTTTACGTTTTTTAATAATTTATGAAACTGATGTAACTAACAATACATTTAATTTTATAACATAGTGAACTCATGAATATTGGCAAGTTGGTTCTAATTAACAATAGGTATTTCGAACACAGTATGTTATGTAACTAGCTTGAAATCTTTTTTTAACTTTTATAATGGTTTCCATTTTGTAATTTTTTTTTCCCCAGTTTCTGAAATTTTTTATGGTGAACTTCTCTTTTAGGCCTGCAAAGTGAGGTTTTCTAGTTTTTTTTTTTTTTTTTCCGATTATTTATTTGTGGGTATTTTTATTATACACACATTTTGTGTCGTAAGCTATAAAACGGCATTTCACTTTTCAAATTGTTCCTACGAAACATTAGAGCCCTGAATTACATTTAAAGAAATTAAATAATGAAGAATCTGCATGAATGTACATATGCTTTTCGCATTGTGAAAAAACAACGGCACATTAAATTTTGAATAAACGTTTAAATTTTGAATAATTTTGAACACTCGAATATGGGCATCTGGAAGCCCAAATTTGGAATTTGTTTTATTACCTATTTCATATTTTGCAAACTTTTAACGAATTTTTGATTAACAAACTCAACGATTTCAAAGCGAGCAATGTCAACACTGTACGGGGGGAAAAAATATCTCCAGCTCCCGAGGCTGTGTATCGGAAACTCGAAAGATATGCTTCTTTTAAATATTTTTAGTCCAAAGGGGCAATTTGCCCAGAAGGACTATTTATTTCGTTTTGGCATTTTGCGTCGATTCATGATAAGCGTTATTTCACTTTTCAAATGTGCCACAAATATTATCGCCCTGTATGATGTTAAACTAAATAATGAAGAATCTGCATGACTGTATGTATATTTCTCGCACTGTGAAGAACAACGGTACCTAGAGGCATAACATTTTGAATAAAGTAGCCCTCAACTCGAATATGGAAATCTGGAAACCCAAATTTGGAACTTGTTTTATTATCTATTTCATATTTTGTAAAGTTTTAACGAATCTTTGATTAACAAACTGAATGGTTCGAAAGTGAGCGATGGTAACACTGTACGAAAAAAAAAAACTGTATAGACTGTACAACACTGCACGAACATTTTGATATCCAACTCGCGGAGACTGTGTATCCGAAATTCTAAAGAAATGCTCGTTTTAAATTATTTTATGATACTACTGTTGACTCAAATTTTATGGTTTAAGTGCGAAGAACATATTTAATAAATAAAAATGTAATGCAAATAAAGTAAAAAAAGTTACAAAAAAATGTAAAAAAAAAAAAAAAAAAAACCGCCCCTTTGCACTTTATTTAAAATCTGAAACTTTTCATATTTTGGGGGGGGGATATGTTATGAATGAATTTTATGGTTTAAGTGTGAAGAGTATTATATTTAATAAATAAATAATGGTAACATACAAAAAGTGTTATGAAACGCCATCTTTGGACGTATTATAAAATTTGAAACCTTTTCAATTCCCCCCCCCCCAACACACACACACGAAAACTACGAAACGATCTAAGAACTGCTGGTAAAGTTGTAATGTTATATAAACAAAAGTTTCGAGTTCATTTGCTTTGCATGTTATATATTAATATAAGGTGAGTATCGTTAAACGATCAGTTTGAATAACATTATTGTGAATTAAATTATCATATCAATAAATTTTCAGATATGTGCATTTTGCATTAAATTATTAATAATGTAAGTGAACAGCCGGATAATTGTTGATAACCCAAGAGGATGCCATGCCTGGGGTACATTAATCAAGTCCTTTTTTTATTCGTTTAATATGTCCAGTTAGTATTGCCATAATCGACAATATAATCTATCTTGAACTCTCAGTTAAAAAAAAAATGCAAGGGGGGGGGAACGCAATTCAGTCTTTTTGATGCTAATGTGAAAATCGTTATAGAATTATTGCTCCCAAATAAATGCTGTAAGAAATACATTTGTTCTCGTCGCTTCAAAATTATTTTAAAAAGTAAACTTTTACATATGACAAGAATTAAAATTTGAAAGTATTAAGACAAGAATTTTGCTGCTTCAGAGGAGAAAGTAATGATTACATTGATTTAAAATTCTTAAATGGAGGTAGTATGAAAACGTTTTACTAAATTTCAATCGTGCTAGCAATGCTGCTTGCTCTCTCTTTCTCACCTTTTAAATGTATGTGTGAGAGTTAGTGCTCTGTCCCTTCTTCAATTTAATCAACTTATTTCAAGATTTTATGATTGAGTCATTTAGTAATAAAGAAGCTTTGGGGCACAACAGGGTCCAGCGTAAATAGCTGTACAATGGAGTAGTTCGATTTGGGCTCTATTTTAGATGAATGGGCTGGCTTCATGGGCGTTTCATTAGTTTTCCTGATGAGTAAATGTGGATACAAACTAGTTTGTCTTAGGAAGTCTTCCACAAAGGCTTCCCTCCTCTTAGGCAGATAGCTCTAACGTGCTTTACCGTATATATAAAAAATGTAGTCCGAATAAACAATTAAACACAACTTCAAATCTTTAGAGCAACCATTTTCCTATTTATTTTTAACAATAATAACGGTAAAGAAAAAACTGGTAACCATGGTAACACTTTGCGACTGCGGAGATAGTCTCACAGACGATGTGTTAGCGTCGCAGAACAAATATAAAAATATTAAACACCGTAATCAAATAAACTAAACCAAGAACAACTTTATAATACAGTTTTCTTCAAATAATTCAAGTTACTTCAGGATTTTATATTTGAGCCACTTAAGAATAGAGAAACATTTTTATATAACCTTCTGAGCTGTGTTTTGCCATGCAGCCTCGAAAAGTTTATCAAATATATAGGCTTTTGACTTTATTTCTCTTTTTAGCATCGCTAAGAAAATACAAGTATAAAAATATTGTGCAGTCAGAGGCACTCTTCACGATCTAATTAAAAAGGATCTAAAGTAACGTTTCAAACATCTTTGTGATAGCCAACGCGCAGGCAGTCAGAGCTTGAAGTGAGTTCAGACGCGGTCATAAGGTCCTTATTATTGTGTGTGCAATGCAACGCCAAAAGGTAACATACGTATGAACAAAAACTTTTTGCGTATGGCACTTAACGTAAAAACAGATTCCTGTTGAATAATTCATAGGAAAACTCCTTGGCGTTCTGATTCCTCTTAAGAAACATCAGAACTCGTAAAGGGGGGGGGAAGAAAAGGGAGTTTTAAAAGAAAAAAAAACTGTTGAAATTGGAGAATCATTGCACATACTCCCGAAATTTCTACACCGTGTTTCACGGGAAATAGGTGTTTTAAAAATCTCGGCCTACAGGGCTACTAAATTATTACATTTCAAACATGGAAAGATGCCAGCCATGCC